TATATATATATATTATTTTATAATTATAATAATATTATAAATTGTATTAGAACAATTGATATTAAAAGGGTATTATTGTAAATTTATATTATTTTACTTGTACTTTTCATAGTGCATCAAACAAGGTAAAGTTAAAAAATTGTCCTGTGACTTAAATAATGGTCCTGTACTGTTCTTGTTCTGTACCTCAACATGTACCAAATGCACCCTCATTTTTATGGGATAAGAACCAATCATTCACTTGGACAAGAACAATTACATAGAACAAGAGTTGTTAGAGACTCAGAGTACAAAACAAGCAAAAGTGTGATATACATGCATAATCCAAAGGCTGCAAGACTGATATTCTACTGCATGATTTAACTTTGAAACACAAATTATAGTTCGCTGCTTAAATCACATTTCACATTCCTGATGTTGAAGAAGTGAGATATTACCTTCGCAGAACGTCTTGAAGTTGTACCAGATCTTGATGAACCCCTTTTCACAACACGCTTGCGTTTTTTCCCCTTGCTGGGCTGATAATATTTAAAACATAAACAATATGAATATTGTGACCAGAACATAGCTACCTAGGAATCAAGACATTACCATAACACGGGGGGAGGGGAATTGAAACACCCAAAAAAAAAAAAAAAAAAAACCTTCTCTTTTTCTGCAAGCAAAACAGTTGTGGTCGCATGAGGGGCAACTAAAAATTCTATCAGCTTAGCAATAATATCTTCCTGCATAAGTAGAAATTTATAAGCAATGATAGAACAGTGTTAAATTAAACGGTATTAGTCAGAAAAGATCAATAATGCCTAACCAACACACCTTCCTCATAGTTTTGGCAATTGTTACGTCAAGCACATCACAGAATTCCAGTAACTTCTCTTTATTACACTTGTCAAGTTTTTCTTTTACTTTAATCATTTGTTTTTCCTGCAGTAACAATATTTGGACTTCAGAACATTTGGCAGACAAAGGATTTCAAGCACAAAGGCAAGAAATCAGTAAAAGATGCTCCCATAAACAAAACCCTATGATTGTAATGTATGATATAGTTGCATGTTATAAATACCAATTTTCTTGTTATTTAAAGGAAATAATTACCTCATTGTCACGCCATACAAAACCAGAAAACCTTAATATGTTACTCTTGATCTGAACTGCCTGCATAAGAGTAAAAAAAGGAGTTACATGAAAGCATAATAACATTAGTGTGACTTTTTAACACCAGGTAAGTTTACAATGTTTAACTTTTTAACAATTTAGGAAAACCACTATCCTATATCTTTCAATATAGAAAAACTGTAACAACTTTTAAAAAAAGTCAATGGCGGTGGTGCAACAAAGAACACAGATAGTTAATGAAGCAGGACATACCTTCCCTCTCCGTCCAAAGAGGATTGTATGGAACAATTTGAAGGTATCATCAGTCTTCCTTCTAGATAACTTAAATGCCACTGAAGCAGAAAATGCAAGGATCATAAAGTTTTTAGCTGTTCTGAAGCAGAAACATCCATTCACAGTAAAACAAATGTATAATAAGAACAAAAAATAATAAATCCCCATATATCAGGTCAACTTCATTAATATATTCATAAAAGGAACCTTTTCTATTATATTCAATTAATTTGAAGTCCATTATGTTTTCCCATTATCTAGAGAGCTAAAAGATTCCGTAGAACCAATAATAAAATGACATTAAATAACATGGATAAACTATAATAAGCTAATAATCTCATTTGCCATAAAAGTGAAAGAAAGGAGCTTTGTGCCACTATTACTGTCATTGAAGGTACAGTTAGAGGGAAAAGGAATATACAAACAAATATTTTTCCATTTTAATAGGAAAATAAAAGACAGGCAAAAAGTAACTATTTTATAAATGGATTAAAGTTCACAAGAGAATCAAATCAGCATACGATAATGGATTTTTCCAATAGCATAATCAAAGTAACTGCTTATTTTCCAAGTCTGGATCACCAACTCATGACAATCTGTAGGGTGCAGGGCTCAATAGTTTGTGGGAAAAGATGCAGTAAAGCATATATCCTTGGAACACAATCATTGAATTGAAGGGTCACAATACAACTATAATTTCATAATGTTCAATCGACCATCTCTACAAATGGCACATTCTTAACCATAAATTTGAAACATGTAAACACAATATATATCTGGCCCATTTCTTGCATGATATTATGTTAAATTAATCCCATACAGTTTTATCAAGATTTGTCATAAACCAAGGAAGAATGTGAAATGCTTTGCTTGTGCAAGTTATGCATTATATTAACTTTTGCAGGCTTGAGTATAAACAAAACTTATATTAAAAGACCATTATTGAAGGAGAATTCAAACAAAAGAAAGTACCATACCATTTGGTATATCTTTTAAAGGTGTACCACGACCCTGCAATTTGAATTTGAAACAGAAACTGTAAGCAAATTAAGTTATACCAAATGCACAATTAATGGCAAATATTTTAAATGTGAAACTGAAACTGAGTACCTTTTCAATGTGAAATTCTTTGTTTGCATCTTTCTCAATTGATGCTACCAACCTCTCAACTGATTTCCTTTCCCGCACAGGGCGATCAACAGTAGGAGTCCTTGGCTCTGTTTTCTTTAGTTCCTTTTTTTTCTCTTTCACTTTCTCCCCATTAATCTTCCCTCTCCCACGTTTTTTTGATCCTTTCTTACTCTTGCTAGCTTCTTCCTTCTCTTCTTTTGACTTATCAATATTATCCTTATCCTCATCTTCATCATTCTCCTCTATTTTCTCCTTTTCATCACTCTCCTCCTCCTTCTCCTTAATGCCAGCCTCTACTTCCATAGCATCTACTTCTGGTTTTTCAGCTTCCACTTTTTCATTTTCTTGTTTACCTTCCATTGTTTCTTCTACCTCAGTTTCTTCATCCATTTTATCATTCTCAGATATATGATCATCTTTCTTATCCTCTTCTATTTCTTTCACCTCATCACCTTTCTTGTCTTCTACTACCTTCTTCACAGCAACTTCCTTATCCTCCTTGACTTCTTTCATACCATCAACCTCCATATCCTCTTTTATTTCCTCCATCCCATCTTTCTTATCCTCGTTTACTTCTTCCACCCCATCTTCTTTCTTATCCTCTTTTTCTTCTTCCACTACAACTTCTTTCTTATCCTCTTTTTCTTCTTCCACTACATCTTCTTTCTTATCCTCTTTACCTTCTTCCACTCCATCTTCTTTCTTATCCTCTTTTGCTTCTGCTACTCCATCTTCTTTCTTATCCTTTTTTGCTTCTGTTACTCCATCTTTCTTATCCCCTTTTGCTTCTTTCACCCCATCTTTCTTATCCTCTTTTACTTCCCCCACGACAACTTTCCTGTCCTCTTCTATCTTTTCCACACCATCAACTTTCTTATCGTCTTCAATTTCTTTCAACTCTTTAATGCCATTGTTCTCCAAGACTTTTCCTCCATCAGTTTCCAAGTTCTTTTTCTCAGTAATTTCATCCAAAGTTTTCTCCTGCAAGCTCTTTCCATTTGAATCAGTCTTAGAAACTTCACTCACGGGTTCTTCCTCACCCATACTAGTCTTATTTAGTAAATATACAGAACTACTATTTCCTAAGCACACACTGCTCTACACTCTGCTAAATTGCACAACCAAAGCCTGCCTAAAGATTAAACAAAAAAGGTATCATTTGGTATAGTTAAGACAAAGACTCAATCAAGCAACAAAGTGCAAAAACAGAGGGAAAATTAAAACAATAAAAACTAGCTACAAAAGGGCATTCAATTAGGCAAGTATTTTAAAATTGAACCCAGGGTTATTGATACCATTCTATGGAAGCACTATAATTGCAGTGTGGTGGTTCCCCCCCCCCCCCCAAACCCCCCTCAGGGGGGGGTTTAC